TCTTCGGCCAATTGAGCAACCTAGTTCGTCCCTGTTCTTTGGCCAATTGAGTAACCCCAGTTCGGCCTCTGTTCTTCGGCCAACAGAGCAACCCAGTTTTTCGATCCTTGGACGCTCTGCAGAAACCCACCAGAGAATCAGTTGTCCTGAAGGTAGAGGCTGTGCAGGAGCTTCAGATTGGAGAAATCGGCCAGAATTTGACCAGAGAGGCGGTTTGACCGGAGGCTGAGAGCTCTGAGCTGGGTTAGGTTCCCGATCGTGTTCGTCGGAATTCATCGACAAGGCCGACGCGCGGGGAGTCGGAGAGATTGGACGAAAGAGTGATTGGCGTCGCACCGGACGCCGACCCAGGTGCAGGCCAAGTCAGACTCGTTCCATTGGATGCGATTCTCGTAAGGGATGAGGGAGATGAAAGCAAGGAGGGCTTGCTTGTCCTGCGTCGGCTCGCAGTTAACTCGATGGCTCAAAATCACCATCAACTGAGCAAATCCACTGCTTTCAGTGGGTCAGGCAAAGGGGACGTGCCAAGCTGCTCCACCCCTCCTGTGTTGGTCTCTGTTTCACGGGCAAGCTCCCCTACTTTACTGGACAGGGAGCAGGAGACCTCCGTGACAGCTTCTCCATCACCCGAAGAGCCTCCAATGGCTTCCCTATTCTTGGAAACAACTTCCTTTCCTCTCACGTAGACTCCCACTCTTCCGGAAGTCACACGGATGACGCCTTCCGTCGCGCTTCACAGACAAGTTGTCCACCCATTTGGCTGTTTCCTCAGCCTCTTGGTCGGACAAAGGCCTACAGGGCCTTCGGTTTGCTCAGCTGGGGAGTCTCGACTCCCCCAACTAATTCATGAAGCCACCGATGTTCCTTGAGCCCTAGCTTCATGCGCAGTTCAACGATAAATAAGGAAAGAGGCAAGTTACGGTGCAAACTGGTATTTTAGATTAAAAATAATTGACTCACATGGTAAAAAACTATTAATTTACATGAGCAATGTTTGAAAATAATACATTTAGGAATAGGTACCATAATTGGAGCTTATTTTTATCATACGTTTGACACGACAAATAAGGGAAAAGTGGGAGTGGAAAGGACAGGTAAATAGTGGGGGGCTGCCAGCGCGATATGACACGCGGTGTCCGGCATACGCTGAACCGATGACAGACGGACCCGTTGCAGCAATCTTCTCAGAAGACCGAGGCGCTTTCGCTTTCTGCTGTTCTTTGTCCTTTTTCCGCGTCGCCCTAAATCGTGAAAAACGGGGATAAAAAACAAAACCACGTTTGGCCAAAAAACTTACTAATATCAGAGTGGGGCCAGAGGCAGAGGTTGTTTGGTAAAGGTGCTCGACTAGTACATGGCTAAGCTCAGGATTGGCATTCCCACTAAACAGAACCTTATAAATATGGCAAGGCCCGAGTGGGACTGTAAAAGGTTGCTTGGTTAACTTAACCCCGTTAAGACCGACTTTGATCGGGATGGTCGGTGTAATTTCCCTGACGTGAGGGGTGTCCTCTATAATACAAGGAAATTGCACCGCGATCAATGTAATTTCTTTTAGAGGCGTAATCATCATTTTATAAATATAGGAAAATTTCTCACAAGAAATTTAAAAAATTTTTAATGAAAAATTAAAAATTTTAAAACTTGGAAATTTCGTACTAAACAGATGAATCTTTTCTCCGTAAAGGGTTCGATTTTGGTAGATCCGTTGCAAACAATTTTGGTAAAAATAATAATAAACCACGTGTGCATTGTCTTTTTTTAAATCTCAAAAATTTCAAAACATACGTTTTTTAATTTAATATTTTATGCATGGAAAAATTTTGTATAAAATAATTCTGCTAACATAAAAATATTTTTCCAAATTTTTTATAAAAATATAGCTGCAATTTTTGATGACATTTTTTACGAAAATTGCAACGAAAACATTTATCAATTAAAGCACCAACAAAGTTTAAAAGCACACATAATTGGAAAAAAAAACTTTCTTTGTATTCTATTTTAATATTTTCTACTATTAGTTTCGTATTTTATGCGTGTAAAAAATGTTTGGTTGGTGGTTGGCTGCTGAAAACATTGTATCTAGCCGACAAAAACCTTGGTTGGTGCAGAAAAGAACAAAACACTTGGTCGGCATGGGAAAGAAAAGTAGGATACAAGAAATTTTTGTATTTTCAAATTATGCGTGTGTTTTGAGCTCGGTTGGTGTCTTAATTTATGTATGTTTCTGTACCAGTTTCCTTAAAAAATGTCAACAGAAGTGCTACCATATATCTCTAAAAGGACTGAAAAAAGTTGTCTTGGTAAGAGTTACTTGTATAATATTTTGTAGCATATGAATTATTAAAATAAAAAAATATACATTATTAGAGCTTAATTTAATCTGATTTGACATGTATGTCTTTAAAAAAGTTCGCATGAGGTTTAGTGGATTCTTTGTGGGCTAAAATATGAAATTTAGAGTAAACATGATACACGATAATATTAATTTGTAAACATGATACACGATAATATTAATTTTTAAAAATATGAAGTATTAAAGTAAGATTTGAATTAAACTTAAAGAATACAAAAAGAATTTTCCCTAAAAACCTCTCAATATCATTGGAATCAGGGAGAATGTTTATTCAATCTAAATGGAACATCAGGAAGGACATGTTAGGTCAGGGTGTGTCCATTTCACAAGCACCTCGAGTTTTCTATTTCTATAAATTGGATTATTCCCTTTTTTAATGGAAAAAAAAACCCAGGTTTCTGTATCTGTACGTGTGATATTAAATTCTTGAATTTGTAATTTTCTAAAAAGTGTAATTTTTTATTGGGTGGGTCTTCTAATAATAGCATGTGTTTGTGTGTATTATATTGTAATAAATCTAATAGCATGTCTATAAAATTATAGGATAAACTACAACTATAAATTTTACACTATTCTTAAAATTATCAATCTCAAACTTTACCCAATTTACCTGAACTGGTAGAACACTTTAATTTCTTCTATTTCATTCCTACAATGGAGCGTTTCTCCACTTTACAATTCTGTCCCTCGTCCATTCATTACTACTTTAATAAAATCAAATATTTAAATCTTAATTTTTGAAAAGATGAATGACTAGGGATGACAATTGAGCACAAATTCAATTATTACTTAGAAAAAATTATTTGGATAAGTCTGGATTTGGATACTATTAAATGAATCCGATTCTAGTTCAGGTCTAGAAAATTAATTAGTCATCTGAGCTGATTTGAGTATTACAATACTTACCCTACCCTAGTTTTGCATGTTATTAATATATATATATATATTTATAATAATTTTTATTTTTTTATATTTTAATTTATAATATTTGATATTTGTAAGACTAACTGATTATATTAAATTTTTTTATTTCTAATAATATTTTTTGTAAAATTATTTTATTAATTTTGAATGTTTATATGTTATGAATTATAAAAATTATTTATAACTGAGCCTAAATCTATATTTTTAATGCAAGTTGAGTACAAGTATTACAGAGCCTGCCCTACACTTTTCCGTTGCATCCTACGAATGTCCCGGCATTTGTTTATTGGAGTGTGTTCAAGTGTCCTGCGAGGAACGCAAAAGGCATGTAAATTAATTAAACCAACAAACACCACGATAAGCAGCAGCTGTCTGTTTTATTTCAAATTTACCATATTGAGATCCGTAGGCAGTCAAACACCATGATTAGCACATTGAAAAATAAAACTATTCAATTTACAGCCTACCAATTATGCCCTGGTCTTGATTGGTTGGAACCAGTTGGAAAAAAAAAAAAAAAAAATTGAAACCATCAAGAGCTTTCGTGATGCCCAAAAATCTCCACATTTTTCTCCATTTATATTGCAAATCTTTGTTGAAATTCGATCCACGGGTTAATTAAGCCACATGGTTAACGTTGTTGCACTTCTGACTTTTTAAAATTTTGGCACAGGCATTTTAATTTCTTTCACTTACTGACCGTGGAGGTAAAGACAAAACAGATTTTGGATGTTTTCTTTTCAAAATTGAAATAAATAGATTATTTATTAATATTTGCATGATGTAGATATTTTTAAAATAATTAAAAATTATGAGATAAAAATTTTAAACGCTTGTTTCAAAATATTTAAATAAATAAATAATAAATGAATACGGGACCGTGAATATATTACCCCCGCCGCCCCCCCCCCCCCCCCCCCCAATCGGTCTATCAGGACGGAGACGGACTTGACAATTTGGAGTCGATATCAATTTGTACTCATTGAACCATATACCTTATCACTTGCACGCACGTTCTATGAGACATGTGGCCCTTACTTTTTCATATATTAAAAATATTAATACCACAATTAAATATTAGCAAGTGGAGACCAGTCATCCAAGACATTTCAAAAACACCTACAAGATTTTGGGGCATTTTGCAATTAAAATAAGGTATCTCATCTGCCGTCCTTAATTTTTGGACTCCCCGTTTCTAATTGGTTTTTCCACAAGATTTAGACCACAGACTTCTGTGCAAAGGGAGTTTCTGCAACAAAAGTAAATTACACCCCGAACCCCAAAAAAATATTATACAATCTTTTAATTTGCACCCTTGAAATAAAAAAAATGAGCAGCAACGCCTTGAAACAATGGCCAATTTTAGATTTTTTAGACTCTGTTTGCTTGATTGAGTAGTAGATTTCTATTCGACTCAAAAGGAATAAGAAAAAGAAATTGTCTTCTTTTAGAGCTTAAAACAGAAGAACTAGACCGAAGGGGGTTAAGTGCTTCATGTGAACACTTGGAAGGGTTTAAGTGGAAAATTATAACGACATAGGGGGTTTAGTGTAATGTACCCCTAAAGGCTCGACGTGTGGATTCGTGTAACATTCCCCTAATCATTGAGGCTGGCTGTTTGCCCCATCATGAAAATAAAGAAATCTGATGCACAGGAAAAAGGAAAAAGAAAATACGGGCAACTTGCTATAATAAAAAATAAAATAAATTCAATAATCCCATGAAACTAGTATATAAAGGAGGTAAGGCAGGGAAGTTGAAAGCAGAAGTGGGTGGGCATGGCTTCAAGAAGGCTTCTTGCTCTAAGTCTCTTTGTGCTTGTCAATACCTTGGCCACCACTCAGCTAGCTCATGCAGCCAAACCTCATTCCATCTCCTACTACAATCGTACCAGCTTCCCTTCTGATTTCCTCTTCGGAACTGCCTCCGCAGCCTACCAGGTATATTCGCTTTCAACACTTTGCTTAAAGTAAGCTGAGTTTGAGGGGGAAAAAAAGGAGACTAACTCAACTTAATTCAGACTTATTTCATCTCTAGGCATACCCATTTGCATCTAAAAAAACTCATGAATAACTTGTTGGATATTAATGTCAGTATGAAGGTGCTGCATTCGAATATGGGAGAGGACCTAGCATATGGGATAATTTTACTCACCAGTATCCAGGTAGCCCTGTTTCCTGTCTAATCTTAGAATTAACCCCTTAATTTTTGTTTAATTACTTTATTATTATTACTTTGTTCAAAGGTGGCCTAACAGTTCCTCCAATCTGACTTTTGCAGAGAAAACTAACGGCGAAAACGGTGACGTAGCTACTGACTTTTACCACCGTTACAAGGTAACGGATTTACATAAATGCGCACATGCACGATAAGAAGAAAAAAAAATTGCAAATAAAGATAAAAAAAGAAAATTTTAATCAAGTCCTCTGCATCGAGATGCGGGAGTGGGCCATAAAATCCAACGGTACCCTGATGAATTCAATGTAACTTTTCATAATATTATGGGAAAGTTTCATTTTTACCCCAAAAAGTAAACTAAATGATTTTCTGCCCACTCTTAAGTATGTGATTTGGTAATAATTAACTCATGTATGCAAATTATGTAAACAGGGTGACACCCAGATAATGAAGTTCCTGGGGATGAATGCTTTCAGATTCTCCATTTCATGGTCTCGGATAATACCAAGTAAGTATTATTATTATTATTATTATTATTATTATTATTAACTTCACTCCCATTTTGAAAGCTTTCAAAATAAATATACAAATAATACAAAATGATTTTGTCAATTTGTCGGACTCTCTCTCTCTCTCTCTCTCTCTCTATATATATATATATATATGAATGAGCTGTTAATTAAGAAGTTCTGTACTACAATGCGCTGTAAAGTGTTAGATATTTATGAACAAGATTAATAATTTAGTTTTGTTCTAAGATTTACCCATTGATTTTCTAAACTGTGCAAATTCAAAATTTTTACTGTTCAGCTGGGAAGCTGAAGGATGGAGTGAACCCGAAAGGCATCCTTTTCTACAAGAATCTCATCGATGACATCATTGCAAAAGGTTATATACTCTCCTCTTAGAGTTTTTATTTTTCGTGTCTTTCTTGTATTGCAGACCTGGAAAATATTAGGAATTTTTTTTGGTTGAAAATAAATGATGAATAAAATCGTTTGTCTGAGTTGTATATTTCAAACGAATTCACAGGGATGGTACCCATGGCGACCCTCTTCCACTGGGATCTTCCTCAAGGCCTAGAAGACGCATATGGCGGCTTTTTGAGCTCTAAAGTAGTGTAAGTGATGAACACTATGAAAGATGTTCACATCTTGGAATGCAGACAAGATAACAAGAGAAACAAATTATTTACTTCTGTCTTCCTTTCTCGAGTTATTAACAAATTAATATTTTGTTGTCAGGGCTGACTTCGCAGATTTTGCAGATCTTTGCTATAAACATTTTGGTGACCGAGTTAAATATTGGATTACATTAAATGAGCCATGGACTTTTTGCTGGCAAGGTTATGACATAGGCACATTGGCACCCGGCCGTTGTTCGGCATGGATGAACAGGAATTGCACCGGTGGAAATTCCGGAACTGAACCCTACATTGTTGGTCACAATATGCTTCTATCTCATGCGGCCGCTGTCAAAGTCTACAGGGATCGTTATCAGGTGGCAAAGAGTTGCAATATTAAATCATCTTCATCCTCCTCCTCCTCCTCCTCCTCCTCCTCTTCTTCTTCTCCTTCTTCTTCTTTTAACAGTTTTATCTTTTTAGTTGTGCGCTCTCAACCTTCCAATCAGGCTCTGGAAGTGCACTTTGCATTGCACTTATTTAACAATTGAGGCATCTCGCAGAAATATCAAAAGGGCAAGATCGGGATTACATTAGTCTCCCATTGGTTCATTCCCTATCACAACACCACGGCCGACAGTGATGCAGCTCGGAGAGCCATTGATTTCATGTTGGGATGGTGAGTACTTCTTTACAACATTTCTTTGGTTTTGAACCGTTGCACGAGAAGGGTGATGAAGTAACAATTGTTGGGATTTTAACAGGTTTATGACCCCAATACACTACGGGCATTACCCTAAAATCATGCAAAAAAACGTCGGTTCCCGGCTACCCAGCTTCACCGCTGCTGAAACGGTGATAGTGAATGGTTCTTATGATTTTCTAGGATTGAATTACTACACCAGCAATTATGCTGCCGACGTTAGCTATGTGAACCCTGTCAATCTCAGCTTTTCAACAGATAACCACGCTAATCTTACAAGTATGTTTTAAATATTTCTGCTTTATCCTTGTAAATTTGAAGTACTTCTCTAATTCTTGGAAAACAGTTTGATTAAATATTTCTTCTTTTTGGGTTTTCCAGCGCACCGAGATGGGGTATCTATTGGAATACCGGTGAGTATGAATGCCCAAATGTTCTTATATAGCCTACCATGAAAGGACATGGTCTCTTGGTTGTTTGTATCAGGGTCTCAGTCTCGTTAACTTGAAATGTTAACTTGTTTTGACTTTTTAAACCTTCATATATTTTCCGTTTTGTTCAATTTAACTGTAAGGGTATACTAGTAACCCAAAAGAGTCATCTCAAATTTTACCACATTAAGTCTGTAATTTTAGTTTTACTTCATAACCCGTTAACTTCCCTTCCACTTCAAGAACATAATGTCCTCTCTCCTTCAAAGCACAGCTCTTAATTTCTCATCGGATTACACAAATTCTTAAACATTAACTTTGGAAAATGATTCTGCAGGAGGGAGTAAACGATTTTTACGTCTACCCACAAGGATTAACAGATCTCCTACTCTACATAATGACCAAGTACCAAAATCCAACCGTCTACATTACCGAAAACGGTAGGGCAAATTGGTCACACAATTTATCTTCTCCTTAACTAGGTTTCATGCGATTCAGCGAAGTTAAAAGACAATTATCTTCGTCTATTTTCAGGGATGGGTCAAGTTGACGTCCACGAAGTGGAAAAAGGAGTCAACGATCCTCAGAGAGCAGTATTCTATGCCGACCATCTTAAAGCTGTTGAAACGGCCATGAAGTGAGTTTTTACTATTCAATTCTTACTGTGCTTTTATTTATCCAGCAGTTTAATATTTGGTACTAATCCTGCTAGTCATGACAGGGGTGGCGCGAACGTAAAAGGTTACATTGCATGGTCCTTTTCAGACAACTTCGAATGGTCTGCTGGCTATAATCCAAGATTCGGCATTGTTTATATTGATTACAAGAAAAATCTTACGAGACACCTCAAACGTTCGGCATATTGGTTCAAGAAATTTTTGCTTGCTTAAACAATAAGCAGAATGTTGTGAGTTGGGTTGTGGCTTTCGGCTTTCAGATTTCGGCTTTTGGCACCTGTATCTTTCAAATAAATTACTGTCTTCAGGACAGTAAATGAGGTGAAAATCGGCTTGCTGTCTGTGCCTGGTGCCAATAAAAACGCTTGTATTCCATATTTCAAGCTTTTGTTTTGTGGAGTTCATCCAAGTTGTCTCATGCCAGTTTGTACTCTTACTATTGTTGATTTGAATAAAATTTCAAATGGCCGTGCATCCCCCTTGGCTGTCCGTCTCTCATTCCATAGAAAATATTATATTGTAGGGCTGCTGTGCAAAAATTAAAACTAAATATTAGAACTCCCTCCTACCTACCCAACCACCTGTGTCATATGGTTTTTGAATTTAAAATCATAGTTGATTAGCAAGCAATGTGAAACAATTTCTTTCTTGTTGTCTTCAATAATCACCAACTCCAATTTCCCATCCAACTTAGCATTTCTTTTTTTGAAATCAGAGATTTGCAATATCATTCGAAGTCTCGTAAAAGAGGTGCATTAGTGCCGTCCATGAGTGGAGAGAGCAAGAATACGTGGTCATGGGTTAAAACATCTTTTTATTTTACTGCTACATGTGTCAATGATCCAACAGTCACCCAACTAGTAGGCTGCTTTCATTTATTTCTCGCTCTAGGGTGAGTATTAATATGTAGAGTTCAAATGACCTCAGAATAAACAAGTTGCTTTGAACCTTCGTCATGACATGTTCAACCTGCTTTGTGTATAATGTCTGTCGTTTCTCTTTTTTTATCTTGCCATCCCACTCTTGTACCCTTTAACCATCTGATCTTCAGTGTTTTAAAAGTTGAATAGGGCTAGCTAGTTCGGCCAGTTCAACTATAACTTAGTCAAATAAATGATTCAGATGATATTTTAAAATTAAAAATATATTTAAACTAGTCAAATTCAATCAAAATTGATCAAATAAATGATTCAGATGATATTTTAAAATTAAAAATATATTTAAACTAGTCAAATTCAATCAAAATTAATCAAATTGGCCAATTTTAACGATTTGTGAAAACTAGTTCAAAGCAAAACCCCCTACCCTAGGCCTCTCCCCTCTTTCCTTCTTGGAAATTGCCACTTATCAAAAGAGTTGGTTCAAATCACAAAAACACTCCTTCCATGCGCCTATCTCTCTCTCTCTCTCTCTCTCTCTCTCTCTCTCTCTCTCTCTCTCGCCCCTTCTCCCTCTCCTAGAAATTGCTGCTATTAGATTGGTTCAAATTTGAAATCAAGTCATATTTGTAGTTTTAAAATTTTTAATTTTAATTTTATTTAATTATGTTAAAAAAATTATATACAAGTGTATAAAAAATTTTAGAAAAATATTTTTAATATTTTTTTTCAATATGTTTCATTTAATTTAACTATTGAAACAAATAAAAAAATTACAAAGAATATATAAATAGTAAAAATTAGATTCTCAAAAAAAATTATTTTCCAAAATTTTTAATTAGAAGAATGTGTGTGTGTGTGTGTGTGTGTGTAATTTTAATTTTGAAATGAACAGATAATAATAAAAATATATTAATGTTGCCATTACACATGTAGCTTTGAGCATTGCACAAAATTTAAACAAAAATATACTATTCGGCTATACTTAATTTATTGAATTTTTAATTTAATTTTAATTTTTTTTAATTATCAACTAATTTGATTGACGATTAATCTCATTGAATTGTGACCTGGTTAACTTAATGATTTGACCACCAGTCCAAACTTTAAAACATATCTAATTTTACCACGTAATTGTCCTTGGCGCCTACATCCGATTGATTGCCGATTGCATGAACAATAACAAAGATGCAAAGTATTCCACTTTATTCTTTTCCCTTTGTACCTCTCATCTAAGGATGCGTCCTTTCCCTTGTCTCAAATTCTAATTTTGAGTCCACATTTTACTCCAACTGAACTTCCCTTGGTTTGTTATAAACTTTCAAAATGACAAATAAAGGCTTCACCAACCCTCGGATGAATCTGTTGACTTTTGCTTTTTCATCAGTTACCAACTGTAATGCATATCAGGAAAGATAATTGAAGCAAGTATTGTAATCCGGGTTTGTCATGTCAAATGTTTTGTTGGAGACACTCAAACTTTACTAGCAGTTGATCTCTCTTATTTGCTAATAGGAATCTATTCATAAATGCACTAACAAATTCTTCCTAGGTCATCGGCGCCTCCTCCTTAGGCCTCTCAAACAATGTGGTAGTACACCAAAATCGAGCCAAATCATGCAATTTGCATGTAACTAATTCCATGTACCTAGGATTGGAACACTTTATCATCTCGAATATGATCTCCATCTGATCTTTGAAGTGTTGTAGATCTTTGGTAGTCCCTAATTCGTAGAAGGTAGGTGATTTAAGTCTAAGAAAGTCTTGAACCTAATTCTTAAGATTGGTCATGTTACATTCCAACCCAGGTGGGCATGTATAACTTGCATCCATGCATTGCATATTCATGCATCACCTTATAACTTCATGTATGTCATCTTTACATGCATTATATAAATACTAGTGATCTTAGATTTAAGTGAGGATTTATATAAAATTTTAATTATGAAAAAAAAGAGAGAAAAGAATAATTAAGGGATTTTGGAAAGTTTATATGATATAATGGAAAAAAAATGAAATATTTAAATAAATCATAATGAGGTTCTTAAAGTAAAACTCTAAGAATTTGACACTTAAGAAACTAAGGCAAATAGTTTTTAAACTAATTATGTAAATAGGTTGCTTAAATTAAGGGATATGTATAAAGATATTTATGGCAAAAGGAGAATTTGAAATTTTAATAAAGGAGGGCTTTCTTGTAATTTTCTTTTAAAAGGGGTGCTTCATATACGTAGAAGTAGCTTGCATATGTTCCAAACCCATCTGGACAGCCCGTGTAAGAGAGAAAATAGAAGAGAAGAAGAAAGATAGAAGAGAAGAAGAAAGAAGAAAGAGAGAGAAGGAAGAAGAGGGGGAGGAAAGGTAAAAAAAACCTGTATACTTCTAGATTTTGCTTGTATTTTGTGAGATTCTAGTATATTTTGGGTTTGCTTCTATTTAATCTCATCTAAATAACTTGAAATCATATAGAATTTGTTGCAACTTTGCTGAACCCTTGCTGGAAAAACTGAAAGTTATGAAAAAGCAAATATTTCATGGTTTTATTGCTCTTAAGGAGTTGTTGTTGAAAACTTGTGCTGTGAGAAAGTTTTAAATTTCTATGGTTGGATTTGGAGTTCTATTACTGTATATGATGCTGAAAAAACAAGGGGAAACTGGGGAGGTGGTGTGAGAGAGGAAGAAAGAGGAGATGAAGCAAGAAAGATGAAGAAAACAAAGCTGGGAACTGGAATTGGAGAGAAGGAGGTTGAGTAGAAAATTTTTCTATAGAGAAGCTTGTTGGGCTGAATTTTTAGGGGGGGTTAAAGTGAGTTAAAAATTAAGTTTAAAGTGTAGTTTAGATGATGATCAACCTAACTTAGGAAAGGAATTGGAAGAAGACACAAGTTAAGCTCAAATTATACAAAACTCAAGTGGTGAAGTCATGAAAGTGTGTAGAAAAAAAACTGCAGACCAGAAAAAATTTATGCAGTTAAAATTCTACAGGGTCTTATGGGTTGCACGAAATTCCTAAGGGCTGGAGTGAGCCTAAAACTAGGTTTAATGGTGAGCTTAGATGATGGTTAATCCAACTTGAAAAGGAAAATTTAGGAAATTAAGAATTTACCTCAAAACCATGTATAGTTCAATTAGTAAACAAGAGAGGATGTGCAGGAAAATTTTTGACGCAAAATTTCTGCAACTTATCTATGTTGGTTGAACCATTTTAGAGGGAAAATTCTGTTCTAAACCAAGCTAGGTAAGTGGTTTAAGAGATGGACAATCTAATTTAGTAAGAAAGCATTAAGAAAGACCCAAATTTGACAGAAAAACTAAATTTACCCAACTAAGAAAACCTTGCTATAAGTGCAAAAAATTCTTCAAGTAAAAATTCTGATTTTGAAAGAGAACTTTGGGGGAGTGGTGAGCCTCATATGGGGCATAAAATAGAGGATAGAAATAAGGGTTAAAGAGAGACTAAAGCATAGACATAGTTAAGAAAAAAATAAGGGCAAGGAGGTCAACCACTTTGAGTTTTAGCCTTTTAGATAAGTGTTAGCATTTTTTTTCTAGCAAATTAAGATATTGAAGAAATAATTTATGACTTTTAAAGAGCTCTTAATGAAATTAAAAATCTAAGCATAATTAACCTAATAAAGAGATTAAAGATGATTTTCAAAGAAATAAAAACATGAAGAGTAAGTAAGAGCACAATTCCAAAGTCAAGTAGAATTTAGAGCATCTAGAACTTTTGGCATGCATTGCATCATATACCTACTTTACTTATGTTTGCATCTTCTCCACTTGTAGGAAAAGGAGACTAAGTCGAGCCTGATAATGGTCGGACGGATCTCACTAGTCATCTATAGAGTTTATTTACATTGTGAGTGGCATATCTTCTAAATTTAGAATTTTTTAAATAAAATGCATGTATTACGATAGTTATAAATTGTTTTATCGACTATGAATGTATTTTATTATGAAAACATTGAAATAGAGTGTCTATGTTCTGAATTCCAATATAATTGTGAATTTTATGATTTTGTAATATTTTGGTGATTCGGCACTTAGACTGAGAATGTTGAGCAGCCATCTGGGGCAAGTGGTAGATCTACAGTCTAAATTATGACATTGGACCCAGTGAGGTCTTAGACACCATAGATTGTGTCAGTCTGACCTAGAGTGGTGACCCATGGTGTAGAATACACAGTGTAGTAGCGCCTAACATATTTTGCCCGAGTATGGGCCAAACTTTACTTTTATGTTTTACTGCCCTTAGACATTATCGATTGTGTACATCCGATCAGAGGTATATGTTATGTAGTACATGATAATGATGTTATGCCTCTTTTATGC